GGGTTTTATAGCGAGCTCTTCCGCAGGCCGATGACCGCTTGTCGCGGGCACGTGCTTGGAGCTGCGGCACTTCTCGCCGAGGACGCTTCTACGGCCACTACGGGGAAGAGGGGGGTGCGAATGCGCGCGCGCGTGTGTGTGTGTGTGTGGATGCGGATGCGTGCGCAGAAATACGAATGGAAGAGAAAGGAACGAAGATCGAGATGTTGATAGAGATTTGAAAATAAGAGAATAAAGAGAGGAAGAGTAAAAACAAACAAGATCCTGTTTGATTTTTTGTGGGTAGTAAAATGAGGAAAACTTGAGCGATTATGAAGAATAAAAGAGAAAATGTTACAAGGAGAGAAAAGGAAAGAGATGGGACATAAAAGATAGAGTTGAGAGAGAGAGAGAGAATTTAACTAATTAATTGTGTTGTTGAGTAAAAGTACGTAATAAAGATAATGCACAGTGGCGATGTAAATTGCAAAAAACTAGAGGTAGCAAATTGAATTCCACCTATACTTTGTAGAAGCGAAGTAACAAAGATATTTTCGAAGTAAAAAGTCATGTAACTAATAGGTGGCAGTTTGATAATGGTAAAGGAATAATTCATCAGCCATTGTCACAAGTATCTTTGATAATAATGAAAAGGACAAATAGTAGATGAGTGTGCAATATGAATGTGTTGAGGGGTAATATGTTGGGGATCAATTACTAATATGTTTGGGGAGGAATGAACATATTTTATATTTTTCAAATGGATGATGAAGGTAAAGTGCAAAAAAGTAAAACACTTTTAAAAGCAACTAAGAAATTAAATTAGCAAATATAATTTATTACAATGTCATTATAAGTATGTTAAAAGAGGGAAGAGAGAATACTAATGATAAATTCGTAACTACGAACTAATAAATAATGTTCGTAGCATTCATGGTGCGTAATACACTAGCGGTTCTTTGCGAATTTCACTAGGTAGTTCTTTCGTATAGTGTACTGAACTGTAGCGTGCATTTTGAAAATCGTTCGGCATATTAACACTATAAATTCTGCGTTTCAATGGTCGTCTAACCAACTACAAACAGCTTACGAACATATGTGCGCCTCCCTTCGTTGTCCAGCGGCAACGGCGGCAGGGGAACCGGAAGCAGTAGTGGAGCGACCCCGACGAAGCCCCGGCGGAGGCGTCGAGGGCGATGGCGCAGGGCTGCGGGCGATGGCGGCGGGCGATGGCGGCGGGTGATGGCGCGGTGCAGCGGCGGCGTGGGGCGTCGTAAAAGGCGATGCGCGACGCGTCTTCGCCAAACGCGCCCAGTCATAAGATGCGTGGAGCGCATAACCCGGGGCAGCGCGGACGCGCGGTGTGCCGCAGGGGCCAGATATGCGGCCGCGACCCGCGCGCAGACCTAATGCGGATTAGAAGCCCCGGGAAAGCGAGGAGGTCGAAGGCACGTCGGATTTTGAAGCACGCGCCCGGTCAAGTACACATGACGGAGAACAAATGGAAACATGAAATTTTAGAGAAGTTTATTTTTTGTCCTTTCTTGTTTTATTCTGCGAATATGAAGGTTTTCTCTCGTCTTTCGACATCGAAATTGTTAAGCATGGTTATGGTATTTTATTTTGTTGGACCTAATGCTAATTATTGGGAGGCAGATATAAGGGTTTTAGCATTTTCTCTCCCATGAATTATGTAATTTGAAATGTTTGTAATGTGCATGAAACAGCAATTTTAACATTAATACCAAGATCATAGTTGAAACAATTTTCTGAAAGAGATAAGACAGGTTGTGGCTATAATAGTATTTTTAGTAAATCTACGACCATTCTAAAAACTGAACCTAAACATGAAGTCGAAATACAGGTTAGGAACCGTGAATTTACTCACATCACCCGATCCATCATGCATATTTTTGAGAGTTGGTTATATATGGAATCGTTAAAAATATTTACAATCCTACCTCAGCTGATAATTTATCAAAACAGATTTGATAATTAGCCGTACGAATACACTAAACACACACTTGTACTAAATGTCATGTCAAATTAAAATATATATCTCACTTCCAAGAGTGGGTGTATACATTTCAAAATACACATCCTATTATCTTACACAATTGTTGATTGCAACTACGGGAGGCTGATTACTTTCATCGTTCTGTATATTGTTTCTAATGTACTTTGTCCTTTGAATTACGTGTTATTTTATGCACCTGCTACATACTACTTGCATGCATATATTACTCCTGAAATTCCATGAATCTACTACCCCCATCAGCGTTTAGCTTTAAGCCAATGCCATCTCCCGTCCTGTCGCTACCGCCCTCTCCACTACCACTAAGGCCACAGCCGCCAACGTCTGCGGTACTGTGCCGCCTGTTGCCGATGCCACATCCACCATCAAACCCGTCGCCTCCTCCGCCATCCCTGTAACCCTTTTCGTCCCCCACCACGACCTCAGGCCCCTCCACCACCTGCGCTGCCTGCTGCGTCCCCTCCGCCATCCTCCCCCCTCCCCACTGCCACGAGCGTCCCCTCCGCTCCCCTTCTGCCGCCCTCCCGACAGCAACCGCCGTCTCCATCACCGTCCCCACGGCCGCTTCCACATCCACTGCCGCCACAGGCCCCGCTGCCGTTGCCGCCGCCGCCGCCGCCGCCGCCGCTGCCACTTCCGCCCCCAGCGGCGCCGCCTACTGCCTACCTGTTGATGGCGCCATCGGCGGACGTGTCTATGATGGAGCCATTAATCATGGCGTCGCCCCCTTCCTCCCTCGCGGAGGCATACCCCTCCTCCTCCCCTCCCCCTTCCCCTCTCGTAACCCCCTTCTACCCCTCGCACACACGGAGCATTCTAAGCAACATCTGGATTAATTCAGGCGGAATTCCTTGCCCGGCTAAATTATATTTTTCTCGTACCTGTCACTCGTATGCGTTTCGACTTAGAAATTACTCGTGTTATTGATCAGAAATTCTCTCTAGGTTCTATATGAATGGGTGAATACCAGAACGGGGTAAGTGAATTTTTTTTGAATTCTGATAAATCTGTTTATTTAAGTCAATATTACTGTGAAGTCGCGGCGCTTAGTTTCATCATTAAATCCACGACATGTCAATTTTCTATTAAAGCCACAACAATTGGTTGCTACTGAAATACAGCCTACAAATATAAAATAAACGTTTTTCTCAGAATTTATAAAATGTCACTTACACCGTTCTGGTTTTCACCCATTCATATATGAGTGTGTGTCCAGTTCCATTTATTCTGCTGTGAAAGAGAGTGATGAGCGATATAAGAGAAAAACTGAGAAGATTTATATTGTTGGTATCATTCACGCAGAGAAAACTGTTTGCGCAATCTAATGAAAATATTCTATAAAACGTCAAGCAAATTGTGTGCACATGCAGTGAACGTTAAGAACTCCTTTCTTGTCTAGCAGGCATATCGTAAGCCGACCTTTTTATTCACATGCCACTATGGCGTTGAAACGACTTCATTCAAGAGATTTTTTACCCTGGAATGCGCGTGGTTTCACAGATAGCCAACTTTTCCCTCAAAAGTCGCCTGCACACGGTCGCGACTAGGTCCCTTTGGCACGCGGACACTTTCTAACTTGTTTATCCGACCGCTGAACGCGATCGCCATCTTTGCGCAAGATGGAGCTCACGTGATGTGACGCGCATGTGTAGTTCGTTCGCCCGCCACTCACGAGCGGTTGGTGTTGTGCGACACGCGTGCTCCGTGTATGACGAGAACCCCTACCTTGCGTGGTCTTTGTACGATGTTTTTGTATCCCAGCTTTTGGCGTTGAATTTACTCCCTCGCAATGGGGCTACATGTTGTAGGTCGATGTTTTAAAGTGCGGTTTCTTTGAAGTGAATTAAATGGCTGGTGCATTATTTTCCTTACACGAGACGGTTATAACTTGACATCTTATGCGACTTACTAGGCAACATTCAATCTTACTGGTTTCAGTTTCGGTTAATAATGGTGATAGTCCATAAATGTACTATGTGCAAGTTCACCTATGTATACATGAATGTATAGTATGCATTCGCATTTGGGGATATCTGTAAATGTAATTTGCATATGACAGGCAGGAGACAAACGATTTTTTTTTCATTTATATGTAATTAAGTATTGTTTTATGTTCCTGTGTTTTGAAACATCTACCCATTGGAGAATTATCTTTATCTTCCAACTGATTGCCTTAAATTTCCATTAGTTGAAAATCTTGAAATAAGCTAAATAAAGATAAATTCTTGAGATAAGCTCGAAAAATTAAGTAATTTGTCTTTGTGCAATTAAAAACTTTCATATTCGCTGTAAAATGTATAATTTTTAAATATGCTGCATGAGATATTATTCAAATATATAAAAGTACAGTACATATACAGTTTCCTTATACGTAGCATTCGAGGTTATTATCTAACGAGGTATTTGTAGGCACTAGTTTATGCACCTACACTATTTCCACTATAAATAATGTCAAAGTATTAGAATTAATTCTTTAGTTTTATATTCCCTTTGTTGGTTCTTTCCTCAACACCCATTATTCCCAGTTGTCTGCTGCTTTTCATTATCCATACTTATTCAGCTGCAATAAAATTGGTGCTCCGTGACAAACATATCGTGACAATTCAACAATGGCCCACAGACAGCGCATTCGAGATACAATAAAGGCTTAGTTCCGAAGCGCAAAGTGACCATGACATTTTATGCCGTACGGTCGTCACGCACCACTCTGCGATGACAGTGCTTCGCTGGGAAACATTTTCCACGTTCAACCTTCTCTTTATGCCATAGAACAGGGGTGTAACAGGAACACGGTTTTCACGTGAAACGTGATGGCCGTATCAATGTTTTCACTGATTGCGGTAATCGAATTTTTAAATGCTTTCAACGTGTTACTCAATAATCATGAAATTACAAAACTGAATTGAAATATGTGGTATTTCGTTCCTCTCTCAGACTTATTCCATCAATGTTACCAAACGCAAGTTTGGCATCCCTGATGTAGAGCTAGATCTGTCGCGTAGTCGACAGCAGCGAGTGGCCATGAGCCCTTCAGACCGCAGGTGCTGTGAGCGATGCGTTATGAACACGCTTGCGGTTTAACTCCCTTATATAATGTTGCCATCACTAGTCGTTTTTCAAGAAAGGCGACAAAAGGTAAAAAAAAAGTGGTATAATTACTCTATTAACACGCAAACGTTGCTGGAAAAATGCAAACCTTCCGGAACACATGAGATATTACTCGCAGAATAGCAAGTGTCGTAATTTGTCCTTGCAAGTCAATTTGGTCAACTGTTTTTTAAGTGCAAACATAAAGTAGACGATTTTTTGAGAGGTCAAAATTAATTTCATCTGAAATATTTGTTATAATTTTTAATTTGTTATTTTTTCTACTTAATCAGTCAAACAAAGCCTTATGTATAATGTATGTCTGGCTAACGTTATATCAGATCTGATTAACATGCGATCTCATATTTAAGGGTTTTTCTCTGAACAAGATTATTCTTTGTTATTATTTTTATGAGTTATTTTATCTTCTTATCATATATTGCATAGAGTCAGTGAAACACAGTTTTGATAATTCTGTAACTTGCTCAAATTAACATTTTATTGTACCAACTCATGATTAAATATATTGTTGAAGTCCAAACTAATACGGTTAACCTGAAGGCGACGTGCCATTCGTCTTCAATAAATGTATTATTGGTTAATAATTTCGCAGGATGAGAAAGTAAACTTGTATAATACTTGTGTCATCAAACAGGACACACTTGTAAGCCCAGATATTTTTAGCAATGTAAAATGTATCATTCTCATAAGTCACCTCCATAAAACGCTCTGTCTTGTTGCAGAGCCAACCACGAACATCATAGGCGGTCCGGACCTGTACATCGATCGAGGCAGCACCATCAACCTGACGTGCGTGGTGCTGTACAGTCCCGAGCCACCGGCCTACATCTTTTGGAACCACAACGACGCGGTGAGTGACCTCCACGGCTCGTCATTATCTTGTTCTTCTTCTCAGGACTTTTTCGAACCGACAGCCTGTTACCCTTTGCGCCGGGACGCATATTTGACGATACACTAGGTATTAACACGCTTTGCTGGCTCCTTTGATCTGTGGTCAGCAGAACGCGAGGCTCGAGTTTTCCCCGCCATGTTGTCAGTGCCGGCGCAAATGTCGCAGGTTCATCAAGCCTAATCGTGTTACATTGTAACTGACTTAATAGTAAAATTAAATTATGTACGAATTAAAGATGTGCAATGAGGATGTGGCAACATTCCGCACTTATCAGCAGTGCAGGCTTCTAGCAATAATTGATGCCCGGAAGATGCTCATTTCATTTTAGATTCATTTTTAGTTCCACTTATATTTCCTACTCATTCCCCAGAATAATACGAATTTCCAATGTATTTTAGTTGTATGTTGAAAGTATTTTATTTGTTGTTCTTGACCAGTGTGATGATTCACTTTGGGAAACCATTTGGAGAAGTTTTGTTCAATAGAATTTTTGATTCTGCAGGCCATTCTTCTTAAATGTGGTTGTTGTCTCTACAATATTCCATTTTTTTTCATATTTTGTGTAAAAATATTCCTTCGAAAATATTTTCTGACGTATGTCCAACATGCCTCGCTTCATATTACAGTCTAAATTTCGTAATCAATAAGAATTGAAGCCTCATCTTACGTGAAGGGAAAATCAAGTATTGGCGCCATCTACCAGCCACTTTACATTTCAATTTCCATGTAGGAATCCCTTCGAAAAGTCCCCCCCCCGTCTTACGGCTATTTTCCAAAATCGAGCAGTTGGGGAGGGAGTGAGAGGGCGCGCGAGCTCAAGAATAAAAGCGCGGCTTCCGCATGCGCCCCACGTACGAAGGGAGGGGGTGGTGGGCAGGGGAAGGGAGGCGGGGCGGCGCCACGGTCCGGAAGCCGGCGGTCGACGCGCCGAAGAACCGGAACCGGCGGAATGAGGCATTGGCGGCCGGCAGCGGAATGGCAGGAGAAGCGGGCGAGAGGAGGCGAGGGGATGGCGAGGGTGAGGCGGGGCGGAGCGAGGGGGAGCGAGGGGGATCGCGGGGGAGGCGGGGCGGAGACGGGGGGAGCGGGCGGAGGCGAGGGGAGGCGGGGCGGAGGCAGGGCGGAGGCTGGGCGGAGGCGGGGCGGAGGCCGGCGCGAGCCGGGGCCGAGGCGGGCGGGCGGGGCGGGGGCGGGGCGGAGCGGGGCGAGGACGGGCGGAACGGCTGGGGCGAGGCGGGCCGAGGCGGCCGAGCGGGGCGAGGCGGGGCCGAGGCGGGGGCCGAGGCGGCCGAGGCGGGGCCGAGCGGGGCCGAGGCGGGCCGAGGCGGGGCCGAGGCCGGGGCGAGGCGGGCCCGAGGCGGGCCAGGCGGGGCGAGGGGCCGAGGCGGCCAGCGGGCCGAGGCGGGGCCAGGCGGGCGAGGCGGGGCGAGCGGGCGGAGGCGGGGCGGATGCTGGGGCCGAGCGGGGCCGAGCGGGAAGCGGGGCGAGGCGGGGCCGAGGGCGGGGCCGAGGCGGGCCGACGGGGCCGACGGGGCCGAGGCGGGCCGAAGGCGGGCGCGAAGGCGGGGCCCGAGGCGGGCCGAGGCGGGAGCCGGGCGGGAGGACCCGAGCGGGGCGAGGCGGTGCCGACGTGGGCCGAGCGGCGCGAGGCGTTGGGCCGAGCGGGCCCGAGGCGGGGCCTAGGCGGGGGGCCCGGACGGGCCGAGGCAGGGCCGAGGCGGGCCAGGCGGGCCGAGGCGGGCGAGGAGGCCGAGCGGGGCCGAGGCGGGGCGAGGCGGGGCCGGAGACGGGCGACGCGGGCCGAGGCGGGGCCGAGGCGGGGCGAGGCGGCCGAATGCGGGGCGAGGCGGGGCGGAGCGGGGGCGGGAGGCGGGGCGAGGCGGTGAGCTGAGGCGGGGCGGAGCGGGCGAGGCGGGCGGAGGCGGGGCGGGAGGCGGGGCGGAGGCGGGCGGAGGCGGGGCGGAGCGCGGCGGAGCGGGCGAGGCGGGGCGAGGCGGGGCGGAGGCGGGTGCCGGATGCGGGCGGAGGCGGGGCGGAAAGCGGCGGAGGCGGGGCGGAGGCGGGGCGGAGCGGCGGGAGGACGGGCGGAGGCGGGGCGGAGGCGGCGGAGAGGGAGGTGGCGGTGGGGAAGGTCATGGCGAGGGCGGAGGGGGAGGCCCAGCGGAGGGAGCAGGAAAGCTAGCGAACGCGCCCGGAAGGCGTGGGTAGAGTGACGCCTCAAGGAGGCGCCCGACTTAGAGGGGAATGAGATGACGGAGTGCGTGGAAACGAGAGTTTTGCAGACTAAGAGGATGAAGTGGAGGAGATGGAAGTAAAGCTGTGAATCACGTTGTAGGTGTAGGAGGTGGCAAGAATGGCCCCCGAGGTGGAAGTGAATGAGAAGGCGGAGTTGGCAGAGGTATCGTTGAAGAAGGGGAAGAAGAAGAAGAAGAAGAAGAAGAAGACGAAGAAGAAGAAGAAGATTGCGGGAGAGTTGCTAAAATCAGAGCTTAGAAAAGCATGCAAAGCTTGGGAAGGGTGGTGAGAATTACGGCGTTCGAGGTGGAAGAGAATGCATTTGCTTTTGTGGAGATGGAAATTTTCTTAGACGAAGATGCGGATTCGGAGATTTTGTCGAAGGTGGCGGAGGCCTAGGCTAATGCAAAGCTTTAGAACGTACCTGAAATTGATGAGGCGATGAAGTTGGGAGAGTGGCCGACGTTAGCAAATGCCTGAGATGTTGAGGCGCTATGGGGAGGTGAAGGAGGACGTGAATGAGGTGGTGTAGGTGTGGATGAAGTTGAAGGACTCGGTGGAGGTAACATGAAGGCAAAGCTAGCGAACGTGTGGAAAGCGCAAGCAATGAGGAGAGAGGAAGCGGCGCCGACGGTGGATGTCCGAGGAGTAAGTGAGAGTGGTGGCAGAAGCGGAGGCGGATGTTGTGCCATTGGCGAAGAAAGTCGCGAACGAACTGTGGACTGGGTGCGAAAGTTGGTGATAGAGTTGCTGGAGTTAGCGTATATAAAGATGGAGGCGAAGTAGCTGTGGAAGATGAATTGTACGTGGAAGAAGGTGCTGGAATGATTGCTGCGCCGGAAGTGAGCAAACTGCTCAATGCCATTGTGGCAAAGACGGGGGCAGCAAAAACGAGCAAAGTGGAGGAGCCGGTGCCAAAGGGACAGCTGTTGGTGGAGGTGGAAGGAGCGGCAGAGGTGGCAGCTGGATTGTATTGGTGATGAAAGTGGGAGAGGTGAATGTTAAAAGAAATGTATCTTGCTGTGACAGTGGGGAAGCTAGCAAGCGCCCGGAATCAAAAATAGCAGCGAAAATAGATGGGGTGGCGATGAACGGGTGGACAAAGCTAATGACAGAAGAGGAGCATGAAGATGAAGAACGAAAGCGGTAGAGGAGATTATGACTTAGACGGCCATAATGGCAAAGGAGATGCTACACCGAAGTCGATGTTTTCAAAACATTTTTTTGTAGAAACAGATGTATTAAACATGGATGTGTTAACCCCTATGTCTTATTAACATCGATGTTTTGTGATCGATGTTATTTTTTCTTTTGCGATGTTTTGTTTCTGAATGAAAAAAATCCCATGATTACAATTCCGTAAAAGTTAAAATATGAAATAATAACTCATGTTTACACTGTTATTCATTAGTTGAAACCAACTGAATGCTGGCTGCACAACCTACAACGACCAAACTGTCTAGTCCAAGGTGACCTCTATGCCATTGTATTTTCTCTTCATATTCATTTCGCACATTGAGATGTGGCCAACAAATACGCTGTCGGCGTAGAGTTTGCACCTCCTTATAATACCTTATTCTGTGAATTGATGATCACGAACACTCTCAAATTAAATTTTATTGCACACGAATTAATGTTAGAGGTTACTAATCTAGTCTAAAAACATCGACGATGAAAAGCATCCATGTTTTTTTTGTGGATGTATTGTTAACATCGTTGTTGTAATTTTGAACATCGGCATTTGCTAACATGGATGTTTCGTTATCTACATCGCATCACTATGTGGCCAGTGTGTCGATGTAGGCTGCTGGAGTGGTGGGATAGTGTGCGGCAGTGGAGAGGGATGAGTGTGGCGGAGGAGACAGCAACAGCTGCGTGAGCGGAGGCGGTGGCAGGCGCGGGAAAGAGATGTAGACGGTGAAGATAGTAGCGGTAATACGGGGCACTGGGATGGAGTGAGAGGCGTGGGGGGTCGGGTGACGGGGGCAAGGAGGCGGCGGGTGGTTGGGAAGGCGACGAAGGCCAACGGAGGCGGAGGAGGCGTGGCGAATGGGGGGCGAGCCAACGGAGCGGAGAGGCAGAAAGAGGCGTGGAGATGGGTGGGAAGAGCGACGAAGGCCAACGAGGCGGAGGGGCGCGGAACGGAGGCGGAGAGGCGTAGAGGATGAGGCGGGCGGGCGAAGCGCGAAGGCTCGCCGCAAAAGCGGCAAATCTCTTTGGCCGTCTGCAGCCGAAAGCGGAAAGCCGGATTTCGTGTGTCCGCGCAGAGAGGCGCGGCGCGCGCGCGGCGGCGCGCCGAGGCGAGGGTGGGACGGGGTCGGGAACGGGGGCGGCGCCAGTGGACCGGGCCAAGCGTCACCAGCTGGAGGCGGGCAAGGCGAGGCAAAAGATTGTCAGAGGCAACGGCGTTAGCGTGGAATGGCTGGCGGTATCACCAAAATCCATGACAGTGTTTATACATCGAACCTCAAACGCTTCCCACACAACATCCCCTTTTAGAGAAAACCAAAATCATGACAAACTTAATCCACTTGAAATCCTTTAACCACTTACGTCTGTAGTTGTGTATTACCATCAAATATAATAATTTTTAAAAAAAAATATTAGGAACTTGACTTTGTGTAAACGTTTATGACTTTAAATGATAAATATCGAATTTAGGGGACCATCTTTATTGACTTGCCTTGATTTAAACCTGCTGTATCATATATCCAGTACATCCTTCTGTAAC